TGCGACAACGGGATCAACCCACTTTTATGAATCGAAAGGAGACTGCTGCCATACAAGAGGCCACAACATCTTGGTCTTCATATCTTAGTTATTTTTGCTTCATTATATCTAATTAAAATACTTATCGATCCTTATAGACCCCAAGGACTATTTGCGCCATGTTTTTTTATCGACTGACTTTATCATGTAACAGTCTTTGTCTACTTATTATTTCATTTTGAACGTTTTATAATATATTGCCCTCCAGGTTGCAAAATTTCACATGGCCTTTAAAGGAAGAAGACAGTTTATTTTCTAAATGAATTCTACCCATTGAAAAATCTGGCATAATCTGGCTTTATCCTAAGTTTTTTTCTTCTCCATACCTTTACAAGGTACGAGGGAACTCTCCTGGTGGCTTCTCTCTCACTAATTCCAGAACCTATATAATAGTTGCCCGAATCACATCCACCGGCCTTGCTCTGGATACCTCTAGCACCTCCTTAGGTTTTCTTGAATATAGTAGAATTTCCCAGGCTTTTGGTTTATAACTTCATTGTCTAACTCAGCTGTTTCCGTTACCACGAGTAAACTTTACTATGCTATATTTAATTTTTTACTATCTTTATTTGTACATTTCTCATTCATTCTCATTTTAGGCCATCGCCCTAGGCTGTGGGGCGCGCATCGCTTTCTATACAGGGGACGTCCGGAGGCTAATTTCTGACGCAAAAGCGGCTCGTCCGACAAAGTTTTTCACTGTACCTCGTGTCCTTTCTCGGTTGCATCAGCAAGTGTATGCCTCTGTAGAATCCTCCTTTGTGAAACGATTTATTTTGGATTTGGCGATTCGACAAAAATTTAAATTGGTGGAAAGGTCAGGCAAATGTATATTAGATATTACAACCACACTACTTACGTATTTTTGCTTGCGCTTCTGAAGATTTATTACTTTTTAATATTGATCATTTACAGCTATGCATACTAAGTTCCAAAAGATTAAAAAAAATATGCGAACGATTATGGGGCAATTGAAACATTTAGGCCAAAAAAATTCTTTTTTTTTTCACTTATTCTATACCTAGGTATTTATCAGGTTTTTTAAGCAGACCTTTTACTTGAGATCCTAATGGTTTTTAAGTTTTGTTGGTATACCATACTGTTATTACATTAAATGGGCGAATAGTATTACAG